GGTGGCTGCTTCCACGTCTGACGGATGGGACAGGAATGTCACTCGGCTCGCGTGCAGCCACCCAGCCTGCCCCCCAGCGGAGAGCTCGGACGGGGACACAGGCGTTCTCGGCTCCGACGCCCCCTCTGCCCCTCAGCCCTCGGCGCCGACTGGGCCCTCGGTTGGCCGGGCCCTGCCCGCCTGGCCCCCAGCCACACGCTCTCCTGCCTCACACACAGACGCCTGCGCAGCGGGTGGGTGTGCACTCCGCCCGTTCTGCAGAAAGGGCCGCGAGTGGCTCCGAGAACAGCCGGAGACTGCGGCTCCGCCCGCCCCCCACCCCTGGGCTCCCTTGTGGCCTCCACGGCTGGTGGTTCAGTATGTTCTTTGGGGTTTTCTTGGTGCTGTATCGCCAGCCCCCGTCCCAGCACACAGAAGGTGCTCAATGAGCACTTGCGTGAACAACCAGAGGCAGGAACGCCCGAGGCCCCCGTGAGAGCAGGAGAGCGGCGCCGTGCCCGTGTGGCGGAGGGGGAACTGAGGCACGGCTGGCATTAGCAGCGCCCTCGGGCTCCAGGCCCAGGGCCCTCGAGGTGGAGGCCACTCACGTGCACCAGAGCTGCTGCCCACGCTGCGGGCGGGTGACCGTCAGGACGGGGTGCGGACGGAGCCCCCCGCGTGGGTCCAGGGCCCAGTCGCCGTCCCGGGCGTACAGAGGAGGGGAGTACCCGGAGCAGCGTTCGTTAGCGGCAGAGAGAGGCTGACCTTGACTGAGCGCTCACCCTGTGCCAGGCCTTAAACGTGCCAACTCTTCTGGCTCCCCTAAGCACCCTCGGCACGGGTGCTGTGGGTGACTGCAGGCGGCCCAGGGAGGTGCGGCCCGGCCCCGGGTCACCCGGCAGCCTGGCTGCAGCCGGCACCGCGCACCCATGGCTCAGAAGCCGCCTCCCTGGCGGTTCACGCCCGCCCACCACCTCTGGGGGCCTTTCCCTGCGCCGTCTCCCCACCTCCCCCAGACCAGCCCCGCTCTCGTCCCCCCTCCACTCGCCTTTCCTCAACGCTCTGCCTCCGGAACAAAACCCCGGGAAGTGCCTTCTCCTGTCCTCCGACAGCCACCCCCCCCACCCCCGCGCACCCCCCCCCCCTTCCTCTCCGCCTGCCTGTGCCTTCCACACGGGGCGGCGGCACCAGCGCCAGCCGGGGACAGCAGCGCGACGCGGGCTGGCATTCTGTCAAGGAATTAATTGAAAAATAAAACCATTAGATGGGAACTCCAGAAATGCAAAATGGTGGTTGGAGGGTGCGGGGGGGGGGGGGGCAGGACTTGGGGGTTGTTGGGGGCCGGCTGAGCTTTTTGTCAAGTTAATTTCTCGGGTGTGGATGTTGGGTGACATTCACTCGTTGTTTATCTCCGGGTGCAGCTGCAGCGCTGAAAGAAAATGCACAGCTTGTTTTGTTTATTTATTTTACACCTTTCTCTGGTTCTGCATTATGTTTGTTTGGTGAAAACCCACTGAGGCTTTTGATGTCGGGGAAGTGGGATCGCAGCCGCTGCTCCCGGCAAGCAGGGGCTCCTCCGCGTGCAGGCAGGGCCGGCGGGCGCTGCCGGGCGGCGTGTGGTGGGAATGCGGGGCCTGCCGTGCCCTCTGGGGGGTGCATCTGGGGGCCTGACCGGAGCCAGCAACGCCAGGCCCAGGAGAGCAGTAGCCCTGTGCCGGCAGGAGCCCAAACGCCCCACCCAGTCCTCACCGTCGCCCCGGGAGACGGCCCCGCCTTCGTCCCTAACGCAGGGACCCAGAGAGCAGCAGTGACTTGCCCAGGGTCGCTGAGCCGAGACCTGGCAGAGCTGTCGGAGGCCGTGGAGTCGGCCACTCAGCAGCCTGCCCCCCATGCCTCTGCCCGAATGCGGTGGGTGGGTGCCCCTGCGCCTCCGTTTTCTGACCTGGGGGAGGGGGCCTGTGCCTCCTCTGGCCTCGGTGTAGTAGCCTTCCCGTGGCAGCCCCCACCTGCTGGCGAGCGTCCGCCCAGGGGCGGCACCAGAGACAAAGACGCTGACCTCGGCACCGTTGGCAGGGGGCGGGGACCCCCAGGGGCCGGGCGTTTCTCTCTTTACTCCCTGGCCCCCCAGCAACGCCAGGAGGAGAGGCACAGATAGCGCCCCCACTTCGCAGGTTAAGGGAGTGCAGGCACAGAAGCACTGGGTCCATGATGGGGCTGTGGCGTCAGGGCCAGCAGGAAGAAGGGCCCCTCCCTGCTCCAGGGGGTCAGCAGGCAGGGGCCGCAGGAGTGGACGGGGCGGAGGACCTGCCCTGTTCCCCCATTTTAAATGGAGTCAAGCCTCAGACGGCGTGCGTGCCCTGCCTGAGGTCACATAACGTGGGAAGCAGCAAGGCCAAGGGGGCCTCGCTCTGAAGCCAGGCGTGGTGACCTCGTGCCCTTTCGTGGGGTCCTGTATGACCTCGGCCGTGTCCCCTGCCCGCGGCAGGGCCCCTCAGGAGAGGCCACCTGCCACCGCACAGGCAGCAGGTGTGGGGTGCAAACTGGATGCCCGGAGGCTGCCGCGCGTTAGCGGTGGGCCCTCGGGGGCGCTGGCCTCTGCACCTCCATCTTCCCACCCGGGAGGTGAGGCCACAGCAGTGCCCCCCACAGGAGGGCGGCCTGTGGAGCTCGGGGGAGGGGCTGCCGGCGAAGTGCCCGTCGTGCGTGTTGCCCATTCCCGCAGCATCCGCCTCCCTCTGGGCCTCAGTTTCCCCAGCCAGGCGGGTGCCTCCCTGCCCTGCCGCTCCTCCGTCTCACTGTTTTCCGACATCGGCAGCTTTAATCTTGAAGAACTGCTCACCCTGTAGCCATTTACTCTCTCGTTCAGCCACCGGTCGCAGAGCACCCACCTGGGCTGGGCCCCGGGACACGGCCGCCCCCGCCCCGCTCCCGGGGTCTGCCGCTGGGAGGGGGCGTCCGGGACGGGCCCTCGGGCCCCAGTTTGCTGCCCTTCCGTTTCCCAGCTCCTACTCCCTGCCCACAAATTCAGTTTCCAGAGGCCGTTGTGCACCTCCGGAGCCTGCGATTATCCGGAAACCCGGACCACGGAGGAGGGGGCCGGAACGGAAGCGGTGTCTCCGAGGGGGGCGGGGGGCGGTAGGGGAGGCTGCCGCCCCTGCCCTCAGCTTATCCCCCTCCCCCCATGACCAGCAGTGAGGGGCTCAGCCGCCTGTTGGCCTCCGGGCTCCTGGGCAGCGGTGGGAGGCGGCCTCCGCAGCTTCCTCGCTCGCCCCCTCCCCACGTCCCACGCGATTCGCTCATCTCCTCGCTGGGCAAACGTGGAGCTCTCACTGGGCGCCAGGCTGCGTGTAGAGAGAAAGGACTCGGAGGGGACGGGACGGCGTCCCCCACGGAGAAACGCCTGCCATGGGGAGCAGGGCAGAGGGCAGGGGCCCTCTTTCCCACGCGGTCAGGGGAGGCCTCTCTGAGGGGCGACGCGGCCGCTGGGGTTTGAGTGAGTCGGGGCCCGGGGCCCGCAGACCCGGGGGTGCAGGGGTGGGTGGGAGCGCGCTGCGCACGTCTCGGGGCGGGGCCGCCTCGAGGGAGGCCGCCGAGGGCCTCGGGTTTCCTCCGCGTGTTCTAGAAGGACCCTCGGGCCTCCGGGTGAAGAGTCAGAATGGGCCGTGGTGGGGGCGAGGGCAGCCGTGGAGGTGAGAAGGGGTCAGTGCCCCGGGCAGTTGGGGAAGGATGACATAAAACATGGGCTTGAGAAGGCCGGGTCGTGTGCCTGGGAACCACCTAGAAAAGACCCGAGGTTCCCCGTCCCTGGGGCCAGCGCTGGGCGGGACCCCGCAGGCACCCGGGTGAGGGAGACGAGCCTGCAGGCAGCCCCCAGCCCAGCGGGGGTGGTGCGGCCGCCTGGGAGACTTCCCGGAGGAGGCGCTGGAGCTGGGGGGGCGAGGGGGTTGGAACCGCCTGCCCACAGCTGCCTCGGTGGGAGTCCGGGGCTGGCCACGGGGAGGGCTGGCCGTTAGCGAGGGGCTGGACGAGCAGACGGGGGCCGCCCGGCCACCCCACTCCATGCCCTCCCCGGGTGGTCGGGGAACCGGCGCCCCCTCTCCTGCCTCCTTGTCTCCCCGGCGTGCTCTGGCCAACAGCGGAGACTTGCTTGAAAAATGGAAAGACTGGGCTTTGGTGTGGCTGGGGTTCAAATCCCGGCTCCTGTCTGTGGCACATAGTAGGTACGCAGTCAGTAGTGTTAGGGGCCCAGAGGGCATATTTTTGCTGAGCCCGCCATGCCCTTTCATGTCTTCATGCTGTACGTCTACTTGCCCTTCCCTTTGCCTCACGGAGAACTCCTCTGCATCCTTCAAAGCCCAACTCAAATCGCCCGTCCTCGTTAAAGCCACCTCCGGATTGCTCCCCCCTCCACGCCTCCTCTGCATTTCTTGAGCAATGATTCACCCAGCGTTTATTGAGCACCTACTGCACGCTAGCCGACTACTACAGGGTTAAGAGTCAGCCACCCCTGGTTTCCTCAGCCCTTGCCCTGGCCAGTCCGCCCAGGCCGGCCAGGGATGCCTCAAGCCCTGAGCTGCTGGAGGAGGCTTTCCTCCCTCCCCTTCGACATGGGGTCCTTCCCTCCATGGGAGCAGAAGAGGAGGGGGTGGCCCTGGAGCAGGAGTCTCTGGGCCCGAAGGCGGTGCCCCCCCTGCCCCCCGGCAAAGCTGAGACTAACCCGCAGTCTCTCTCTCCTCTCTCATGGTTTCTCCCCGCTTCCCCCGGCCGCCTCCCCCCTCCTACCTCCCCGTCAACGCACTTTCTCCTGGTTTCTCATCTCTCCTTGCTGCTCGTGTGTCTCTCCCACCACATCCCGTCTTCCTGTTCTTGGGTTTCCATCCTCCCCCGCTCCCCGTTCTGCTCGCCCCTCTCCCCCCCTCCCCCCCTCCCTGCACCCCCCCCTCCCCCCACCGTCTCTCTCCTCCTGCCTGCAACCCTCTCGGCTGTTCTCCTCTCCTCTCCTGCCATCTGGGCTCCCGCAGAGCCCCCGAAGAAAAAGCGGTCTGCGGTGTTGGACGAGATCCTGGAGCAGCTGGAAGACAGTGAAAACGACAGTGAGGAGCGAACCCTTCAGCTGCGCGCTGGCACCGAGAGGGTACGTGACTCCAGGGCCCTGAGGACTGGGGACAGCCGCTCCGGCTGCCTCTGCGCTCCCTGCCACATGGGCTGGGGGGCGGGGGGGGGGGGCGGTGCTGGCTGGGCTGCGTGGAAGCGGCAGGCGGCCCCCCCCCCAACACCTCCACAGTTCGAGGGCAGAGGGGACGACGGCCTCCATCCGCCCCCAGCCTCGTGCTGCTGCTCTCACGTGAGTTCCGTGACTCGCTCCTCCTCCCCGCGGCCCTGAGGCGGGCCAGGGTCCCGTCCCGCTGGCAGGAAGGTCGGCGCACAGAGGGGTCCTGGCTTCACTCCAGGACCCCAGCGCCCGGTAGTAAGAGCCCAGCACCCCAGTGCCCCAGACCGTGGGGCTGAAGGCAGCCCCTTGGAGTCTGAGTTCCACTCCACTGGGACCCCCGGCCCTGCTGCGCAGCCTCCCAGGGCCCGGCCTCCTCCTCACTGTCTGGTTCCGGCTTCTCGAGGCAGCGGTGGGAGAGGGGATGCCGCGGGGATCCGTGGGAAATGCCAGGCACGGGGCTGAGTGTGCGGGACGGGCTCCAGAAGCTTCCATCCTCCCCTTTTCCTCCAGGGCTGCTGAGCGGGAGTCCCGCCTGTGTCTGTCCAAGGGCCTGCCCACAGGTCGGGGCTCGGCCTCGGTCCTGCCCCGTCCTCGTCAGTCACGGGACCGCAAGCCCCATCCTCGTCCCCGGGCGTCCCCGCCCCTGCCGGCCCGGGCTGGGGAGGCCTCGAGCTGCTCAGGAAGCCCCGCTCCGAGCCCAGACACAGCCCTGCGGGTGGAGCCCAGCCGTGTGTCCCTAACGGCAGACGCCCGTGTCCACGGGCCGGGGCCCCGCGAGATGCATCCAGGCCCCCAGCCCTGGCGAGCCGTGTTCCCAGCCTACCCCCGGCCACACGGACTCCAGCCCGGGGAGCGGGCCTCGCCCCCGGGAGGCCTTGTGCCCAGCGCAGGCCAGGGGGCCACGGGCCCGAGGACCTGGGTCTGACCCGCAGCCATCCATCCGCGCCCAGCCCCGCGCAGCCTCACACCCCCCAGGCCCCCTCTGACCCTCAGCGTCTCTCTCTCTCCCTAAGGTGGGGGTGGCGCTGCACCCACCTCAGAGGCGGGGCTCGGACTCCCTCGGTCGGTGCCCTCGGCCTCGTGTTCTCTCCTTGTTGGGGCCTGGGGGGGGCCCCGTGAGAGTCCGAGAACCTTCTATCTTGTTGTGTAAAGTTCGGTCTGTGCGTTTTGGGGGTTTAGTCCTTGTCCAGCTGGCGGAGTGGCCTGGGGCCCCAGCCGCGCCCCGCGCCCCGGCTGCCCTGCCAGCCTGGCTCACCGCCGGGCACCCCCAGGACTGCCTGCAGAAACAGCCCCGGAGCGGCTCGTTCCAGCCGCCCGCAGGGTGTCCCCCAGACTCCAGGTGACCACAGCTTCTGGGCGGGGGCTGTGTGTGTGGTGGGGCGGGTGCTGAACCACCCTGGCCAGACCCTCGGCTCCCGGAGGTCGAGACAGAACCGGGAGGAGGCTGTGACGGATGCAGGAGCGGAGCAGGCCCCCAGCGGAGGTGAGGTGGTGCCCCAGAGCCCTGGGCTTCGGCGGGGTCCCTTGCCCCTGCCCTGCCTGTGGGCCCAGGGGTTCCGGAGCAGGGCCTGAGCGGCAGGTGTGGAGCCAGCCCCCTTCTGGGGCTGGGGCCCCGCCTGGGTGCCTCAGCCATCCCCACCCGCTTTGACCCCTGCGGGTCCCATTTCCCAGGCTCCCCTGCCGACAGCCAGGCTTCCTATCGGGCTTGCCCAGGGGAGCACCAGCCGGCACCTGGGGGCCAGGGTACCCCCGCCCTCTGTCCTTCGTGGTTTCTCCACCGAGGGGCCAGCCCTGGATTCTAGCCCTACCGCCACCTCCCGGAGGCCATGCAGCCAGAGTGCTGTCGCCCCCCGGCGCCTGGCCCTCGGCTGCTCCAGCTCCTCTGGAACGAGCTCCGAGTCCCCTCTGGAGCTGCCTGATGGGGACAGCGAGGACGCGGGGAGCCAGCAAGGCCTGCTGCTGGGGTGACGGGGGGAGGCCTGGAGGTGGCCCATGGAGGGACAGGAAGTGCAGTTGGGGGACAGGAGCGCGGTCGGCTTGTGTGCGGGGGGGGTGCTCCGGAGGCTGAGCACGGGGGGCGGGGGGCTGCAGAGCTTGGTGGTCTGCAGGGTGAGCCTGGGGCTCAGGGCAGAGGAAGCCTGGGTGGGGGGGGGGTTTGGAATGTGGGGCCGGGCTCAGGGAAGGAAGGAGCACGGGCAGCCGAGGCCCCGGGCCCGGTGGGTGGGCACACAGACCGCCTGCCGGAGGGGCCGGTGGTCAGGCAGGAGGCGGAGGTGAGGGGCCAGGAGGTGCGTTTCTCGGGGAGAGCGAGGTGGGCATCTCAGCTCTGCACCCAGTGCCCAGGTGACCTGCAGCTGGGGGCTCAGCGTCTCCTGCCTTGGTTTCCCTGCCTTTAAAATGGGTACAAGAAGAATTCCTGCCTGCTAGGACTATTTCTAAGATTAAATAAAAGATTATGGATGGAAAGCGCTCAGCAGGGTGTTGTTTCATGCCTAGTGAACACTAAGTAAATGACGCCGTTGTTGTTAATATTATTATTTAACAGAGAGACGAGCTGTCGGGGCTGCCCCCAGTGAGGGGCTGTGCCCGAGGGAGTCAGACCCCAGCTCAGGTCCAGCAGGCCCACAGGGCCCGTCAGGGTGGACGGCACAGGGAGCCACCGGGAGGGGGCTGTGGTGGGAAGGAAGGGGCCTGTGAATCCAGGGAGGCGGCCTCTGGCCACCAGCCCCCCCAGAGCAGGCTGGGCAGGCCCGCGGTTCACACAGTCCGTCCTCGTGCAGAGCCAGGGCCGGGCCCCGGGGGTCCGGTGGTTGCTGTGTTTGCTCCCAACCGCTTCCACCCGCGGCCCCGGGGCGGGAGGCACTGGCAGTGCACCTGAAAGTCAGGCTCGGGTCCTGGGTCAGCGCTTCTGGGTGCTCATCAGCACCCCGCCAGCAAAGGCCCCTGGCCGTGGGGTGATGCCTGGGTGTGCTGGGGGGGGGCCTGCCTCCTTCCCCCTGGGAAAGGCAGCTGGTTCCCTCCGGCCGGCTTGCACACGGGGCGGGGGCTGAAGCGAAGGCACCGCGGCTTTTCAGGAAGGCGAGGCCAAAAGGGCACAGGCCAGAGGCAGGGGCTGGCAGAGCCCAGTGCCAATCCTCACCCCATGTATCCACCCACCCACCCATTCGTCAGGCACGGAGTTGGTGCCCCCTGGGGCGAGGCACCGTTGGGCGCCTGGGAAACCAGGGCAGAAGCGCTGGGGGCGCCCGCAGGTCCGTCCCCAGGCGGGGAGACCCACATGCCAGGCGGAGGACGACTCCAGCGGCGCCCGCCGGTGGTGCACCGCCGCGCCGAGGCAGGGATCAGTGCGAGCCGAGCACGCAGGCTCCGGTGAGCAGAGCCGAGTTTGGTCCCAGCATCTAATTCAATTTGTTCTGCCGAGATTGAAATACGAAATGGTTGCCAGTCAGACGTTCAAAGGACGGCGAGCGCCTGCTGAAATTTGAATTTTAATGAAAACGACTTTAACCCTTTGGTGCACCTCGCGGGAAAGGAAGGCTCCCGCGTCCTGCAGAACCGCCTCCGGGTCCTCCCCTCCGCCCACTCCCCTGCGGCCGCGCCTCGCCAGGGCTAGTGGTGTGGTCCTTGTTCCAGCAGCAGCGGCCGTGGTGGTGGCGGTGCTCAGAGACCGAGGGATGCCGGCTCCACAGTAACCTCCTCTCCCACGTCGCCCCGGCCGTGGGAGCAGGCTCCTCCCGCCCTGGGCAGACCAGCCCGGGCCCCGCTAGGTGCCCCTGGCCCAGCCATGAGTGTCCGTCTGTGTTGTGGTTGCACGTCTGTCCTCCCTCTGGACTGGAAACCCTGGAGAGCGGAGGCGCGCACAGCACCCCCCCTCCCCCCCCAGCCCAGGGGAACGCTTGGCAGGGCTGGAGGCGGGGCGAGCACCCCACTCTGTCCCCCCAGCAGCTGTGGGGGGTGATGTGGGGATACAGGCGTGGAGGCTCGGAGAGGCAGGACACGCTCCCCAGGCGACACCTCACCAAGGGCTGGCCCGCCGAGGGGAGCCTGAGGTCCCATCCTCCCGCTCCCCGGGCGCCAGGGCGGCACGTGGTGCAGGAGGGTCTGGCCCTGTGCCGGCGGCCACTGTCAAGTGCCGTCGACCTCTGGGTGAGTGTTACGGCTCAGTACCGTGTGGCCCTGTCCTCCTAGGGCACCGGGGTGAGGAGTGAGGGTGGTAGGGCGGCCCTGGGACTCCCCTGAGGACACACAGCTCCCGGGGGCTGAGCCCTTGGCCTGGTCCTTGGGGACCGGCAGAGCCAGGGAGCCCCAGCAGAACGTGAGACACCTCCGTGCGTGGGTGCGTGCACCCAGCAGACGCTGGCCGAGCCCGCCCTGCACTGAGCCCAGCCCGGGTGCTAGGGAGACAGACAGCGAGCAGACGCTGCCCACGCTGGTGTCGCTGAGGCCGCCCTCCCCGAGGGGCGGACAGAAGGCCCCCGGAAGGGGCCAGAGGCGCAGTGGGGGGTCTTCTGCTTGTCTTGAGGAGATCAGAGCACAACGGGGGGAACCCAGTCCCGTGTAGGCAGAGCCGGGGAATCGAGCTTGAAGTTCACCAGTTTCTAGTTCGTTTTGAAGCCAGTTCTAGATGGTTCCAAATGCTTTTGGCCACAGGACCCCCTTTTACAAACCAAAGCCATATGCAGAACCCGACACAGGCCACAGATAACGCAGAACTGCTCTGCTCCAAGTCGGGTCCCGGGACCAGCCCCCACACATCGGTCCTCCCCGCTCAGCAGCCGAGAGCTTTGGAAAACCACCCAGCTGAACGTGCCTCGTGAAGAAGCACGGGTGACTCGATGCAGCCCGCAGACAGGCTGGTTTCAATCTTTAATTTGCGAGCTTGTTTGCACGTGCGCGTTACAAACGCACAGCTCGTCAAGCCGGTGGTTTTGCCAGGCTCCAAGAAGGAGGTGTGCGCACAGTAAGCAGGAAAGGAAGTGCCTGGGCGGTCTAAACGGGGGGTTGCCGACCTGGCTTGTGGGCCAGGTCCAGCTGCCGCTGGTTCGTGCAAATAAAGTTTTATCCGCACACCACCAGGCCCCTCGGGTCACATCTCATCCGGGGCAGCCTGCCCGCCGCCGCCTCAGAGTTGAGGGCGGCAAGGGGCTGTCCAGCCTGCAGAGCCTGGAATGCTGACCGGCTGGCCGTCCACACCGAGTTGGCCAGGGGGCCCGAGGCCAGCCCCTCCGGTTTCACGGCTCAGGAACGACACCAGAGAGGGCGAGCGGCTCCCACAGGGTCACACCGTGGCATCACTGCCCGCTCCGTGCTCTTCCCACCCCGCCCCCGAGCCCGGCTCCCTGGGCCTGAATCCCTGCGCTGCCCCATACCAGCGGCATGGCCCAGAGCCAGCCCCTTGCCCCCTCTGAGGGCCCCGTGTCCGACTCCTGGGGATGTGAAGAGGGCTGAACGGGTGCGCCGTGAGGCTGCACCAGCTCTCTCTGTTGGTACCCCATCCCCCAGCGTCAAGGAGTGTCCCCCCAGCGCATGCCCACGGGAGGCCACAGTGCTCAAGCACCGGCCCAGAGCTCGGGGGCTGCGGCTCAGCAGCAGAATTAAAGGGGCCCTGCAATCCAATTAGAGCATCACCAGGAGCCAGGGCTGCGTCCCCTCCAGCTCCCTTAATAAACCCCACTTCCCCGTAATTGCGGCTTTCATGAGAATGACCCACTGGGGCCGCAGCGCCCCGTCCTTGGGCGCGGGCCAGCAGCCAGCGCTTTTCCGTCGCGCGGATTTCCGGGTGGCAGCTGCTCCCATCCTCCCCGGGAACCGCCGGGGGCCCTCCCTTCCCCTGGCCCCCGAAAGGATTCCAGGCGATGCCGCCGCCGCCGCCTCCTGTGTCTGCGAGTCACCCTGCAGGCTGCGGAACGTTCAGCTGAGTCTCAGCTGAGTCACAGGGCGGCGGACACTGTCACCCTCACTGCACAGGTGAGGGGCAGCCTGGAGACGTGATGTGAGCTCCGAGGCCAAGGTTCTGGGAGGCGCCGGGAGAGCCCAGGCCCCGACCCCGAGGCTGGTTCTGTCTGGTTCCGGCCACGGCTCTCCGGCCGAGCCCGGAGCAGCCGAGAGGGGGCTGAGCAGGTTGGATCCAGAGCCCCTGGTCCCCCTTTCTGACATTTCTGCTTGTGGGTTCGGCGGCCCGGCCCTCGTAGTGTAAGCAGTCCACAGCAACAGTGTTAGCCACATGCATTGTGGACCCCAAAACTCGAGCCAGCTCCTTCCTCCGGCGCTCAGCTGACGAGCAGCGGGCGGCTGCAGAGCCTGGGACAGCTGGCCGGGCAGCCCTGCAGAGGCAGCGATTCGGTGGGAGTGCGCTCAAAGGCCCACACGTACGATGCTCTCAGATTCTCAACCCACAAAGAGTTTAAGGCCCACTGTCCCGGGCCTGAGCCCTGGTTGTCCGTGGAAACCCCAGAGACATGTGGGTCTTGTTCCTTTCGCAGGGAGACGCGTTTGCTACCTGCCCCGTTGGCCAGAGCAGGTCCTGGGGCTGAGCCCCCCACTCAGCATGGGAGGGCCCCCCAGAAGGCGTGGGTGTGGGGTGGGAGGACAGAATGGGTCCCACACACACAGGAGGCACCCACTAAGCGTTTGCTGGAGCCCGGGTCATCAGTAGAGAAACAGAACATTCAGAGACTCTACTGAGAAAACAAGGGAAGTTCTAGCCAGGCAAGTGGCCCCAGGTGGCACTCATCGAGCTCCCAGGTGTAAGTGGGCCATCAGTTAACTCCTTCCTGCCGGAAAGTTCCGTGCTTGTCCCCACCCCCTATAAAAGCTCCCCAGGGCTCTCCCACAGCTGGACCCACTCCTGTGGGCTCCCCAGGCTCAGTCTGCTCGAGCCCCGTTTTCCCTGGGAAACGCCAGCTCTAGTAATCGGGGTTTGGGGTTCAGCCACATGTCTCTGCGGTGGGGTTCCTCCCCAATCCCCAAGCCTCTCTTGCTCCCAGCTAGGGAGCTCACTGCTGGCAGCAGGGGCCGAGGGGTGGGGGGAG